AGATAGATAGATAGATAGATAGATAGATAGATAGATAGATAGATAGATAGATAGATGTGCTTGGAGGCTGCATACAGTCTGTGGGTTGTCCACTACTGATATAATCATATATGTTAACTGATATCCTTCAGCTCAATGAAATGTAGCTAAAAGACATCTCTACTTAATGCATCAATTGCAAATGCAGCCAATGAAATATTAAAAGCTAAGTACACATTTATGAGCAAATGTGCATTTTTTAAAAAAATAAGTCACTTTAGCAATGAATGGTTGAGAGCGAAGAATCAGTGCAGGGGAAAAGAGGCACAAACCTTTCCCTACATCACCTTCTTCCCACAGTTAGGTTTCTACAAATGTATATTGTCTGGCCTAAACAGGCAAGCTAGTAACTCTCCGCCAAAACTATTATTTTGTATGAATCACCTGAAAACAAAAATGCTTGTACAAAAAGCAGTTGAACTGATATGGGCTAACCTACCTTGAAACAACCAGAGGGAGAATCAACATTTTCAACATTCTCATCAATAACTCTCCAGGAAATTGGAAATAACTAATTTCCTAAGAAAATAAGGAAATGGGTCAATTGATTTTTTTTCTAAAAAAAACATTTACCTCAAAATAGTGTTAATATGCTGTGATCTCTACATTATTGCTCTCTTCTTAAGTACAACAGCATACTAAATATAGGATGGAGTGACGAGAAAATGAACACGTGTAGAAGCTATTAATAATTGGCTTACTTTGAAATGGTGATTTTAATACTCATTGGGTTCTCACATGAATACTAAGTTTAGTATAAAAACTATGAATCTAGGAAAGAATTTAGCTTAGCTGTTATTAGGGGAAAAAAGTACTAAATCCACTGACTGCCAGACCTATCCGTCCACATCTCTATTAAAACAAACTGAATTAATATAATTCATCAGAGGGCATCAGAATCTTAAAGTAACTAGTTCTGCAGTAAAAAACTCAGCAGGGATGAATGAAGCAGGTGTGAAGTTCATAGTTGGGGGCTATATACTTTTATACTCCTAATTTTTCTTGGTGGTGGTACATACAGCAGAAGCTGGTGAAGAACATAAATTATGAACACATTCATAAGAGAGTGCCTGGTCGTTCAGATACCTTGGCCACAGACCATTTAAGGTTTTATAGGTCAAAACCCCCAGTATTCAAGAAGCCTCATCTCTGTGCCTAGGTTTTCACAGTGTTAACCTCCCAAGTTATCTCCCCATTTCACACATCAACTTGAAGGCAACTACAGGTAGTCCCCAGCTTAAGAATGAGTTCTGTTCCCAAGGTCTGTCCTTAAGTAAAATTTGTATGTAAGCCAGAACAGTATTACTGTATAATATTGTATAAGTAGTATTGTGTAATGAACTCAAACCATTGTGTATTTAACTTGAATTTTTGCTACAATAGGCTCTGTTCTTATCTATGGGTCGTCTGTAAACTGAGTGTTCTTAACCCAGGGACTACCTGTAGATCACTAGCTATACCAGTTAAATAGATGGCAAACCAGAAAAATCTGTATGCTGTTATACTGCCTGTTTTCCAGATGTGTACTCTCATATTTTGCCATGCTAGACAATTCCCTTACAATGTGAATTGACTCATGATAGATAATTGTGACTCTATTTCACTCACAATAGGTGGGGCAAATGCATATTTCTCATCTTCAGCCAGCATCTTTGGGGCAAACATTGTACAACATTTTCTAATTTGTTTGTTTTAAAAAAGAGAAAATTCCTATTATTTCAAAAAACAGTTAAGAAACCATTTTTTATCTAGCTTGTCCAGCATGAACTGTACACTATGGAAGGGGGTTAGATGAGAAGAAGCACATGGATTCTATAAACAGATGCATTCTTCAAGCTGCTCTAAAACATCCTTTCTAAAATAATGTCATTGCTAACAAAAACACATTAATTCTGGAGAGCTTTCCCTACAAATGTACTAAGACCAACAAAACTACTTCAGAGTAAATGGTTTGTGGAGTATAAGCATGTTATATATTATAAAAGAATATATATTAGCTTTCACTGGGAATAAGGTATTCAAACATACCAGGAATTCACAATGCAAGTTTTAAAAAAAATATTAAGCTTCCTGCCTGTTCCATTTGTACAGCTTGTACAAATAACATTTTATACATAGATATAATTGTGCAATGGCTCTTGCAGTTGTAATCAGCTTTTCAACTATTAAAAAATCTAAAGACAGCTTTAGTTTCAGAACAAGATGTCTTGTTTTGCAATATATCAGTTTAGCAAAATGTCCCACTGACCAACTCCTATTTTATTTTATTAATCCTTTGTTTCTCAATGATGCTACCCCTGCTTATATCACTGACCTGCTGAGAAAGGCGCCTTGTCCTCAGGAAGAATCCAAGGAGACATCCCACTATGACAGACAATACTGAGAGAATGAGTAAACCATTCCTTTTACAAACATCCTTGACTCGACCTAGCATTGCTTCAAAGGCCACTGCCATGGTGTCCTCAGTGATCTCCAGAGGGGAATCAGCATCCCAAAGAACCAGAGACCTTTCCAGCCTGTCGTGTTAGAATATCAGGCGTAGATTAGATGAAAGCATTTCTGGTGCTGCTTAGCTGACCTGCAAGGTCGCTCTTCTGCCAGTAGCCACCAAGCATGTATTTCCAAATTAATACCCACAATCCTATTAGTGACTACATCAATATGAACCTCAAGGAAGATTAAGAACTCTGGAAAATGAGAACAGAGTAGAGTAGCATTTTTGAAACCAGAGTGATCTTGGAGCAAAGGAATGCCCAAAATGAAAAGAAAATAATATAATTGTGCATTGTTAAGTTGTTATAAGCAGAGGGTCCTTAATAATGGAGGCATAAGGGGAATACAATCCATACAGTAGATATCTTCTGTTTTCATTCAAAGTGTAGGTGAATAACATTAGTTTATCACAAGACTAAACTGTAAATAATGGCGGCTTACTTTTCACTGTTAGCAAAAAAAAAAAAAAAATCTGGAAATTTTAGAAGCAATGGAAAAATTTTTTCTCCCCATCAACAACTTTTTCAGAAAAAAACTGATTTTTTTCAGATAATTGAAATATATGCAATTTATTGCTTTAATATGCTTTAACTTTCTAAAATGTATTATGTATAACTTGTTTTGCTCATAAATGTATGTTTGATCTATGAAATTGAAAAATATAGTTTATTCAATTTACTGATGGACTTTAATTTTTGTTGCAAATGGAGCCTCAAGCAGCTGAACTTGTATCTCTTTATTTTCATCTGCTAAGAAGAAGCGGGCAGCCAAAATCTTGCAATTGAAAACAAAAGAAACCATCAACACTGTAGCAAAATGAAACATTTTCTCCTGCAATGTATCAAGTACAGAAAACGCTTTTTAAAAAAGGGCTGGGATCAAGAGTCAGAATACACATTTTGCCACATGAAATGTTACCTAATTGGACTCATTTTCTGAATCTTAAGTGCTATCCTTCAGCAGTTCTACCACTTCTGAAGATTCACTTGTACTGAGATAAAATGTTCTACTCTATTATAAACTGGATTATTTCTTGATTTTGGTGTAATTTCAAATACAGACTTTTTTAAAAAGCACCTTAGCCATTTTATTTATTTATTTAGTTCAACTTCAGTGCCATCCAAGTCCAGACTGACCCTGGGTGGCTCACAAAATTAAAAAAAAACAAACCACAAATAAAATAAGATACATAAAAATGCAGTAAAGAAATTAAACAAAATGGCAGACCCAGGCAACTGACATCAAAACGTATGCAAGGGGTTCCATTCATTCTACCACAAGACCTAGGAGAACAGCCAGATCGATCGATCTATCTATCTATCTATCTATCTATCTATCTATCTATCTATCTATC